TTACATTTAAAAAAATAAACATTTGTTATGTAAAAAAGTAAAACTAGAAACAATCTAAATACCCAACAAAATATTAAATAAATGATTTATACCAAATAAAACTAAATATAATTACCCCAAACTGTAATATGCAGTTATTTCAATGATGATATAGAAGAGAAGGTGAACTAGAACCTTCATATCTTGATGGTGAGAATCAAAATTGTACAGCCAATTTGAAAAACAGTTTTGCCATTTCTTTAAAAATTAAACATAAACTTACCTAATGACCTGATAATTCTAACCGTAGGTTATATACCCAAGATTATATGAACATATGTCTAAATAAAGACTATGTGAATGTCTACATGTAGCATTATACATAATAGCTAAACATAGAAACAATCCAAGTATCCATCAATTAGTGCATGAGTAAAGAAAATTTAATATATACTTGTACCACGAAATACTACTCACCAATAAAAAGGAATAAATTGTTGATACATGATAAAACATGTATGAACTTCAAAAATGTTTGCTAAGTCAAAGAAGCCAGATAAGACTATATACCGTAAGAGTACATTTTTATGGCAAGTCCAGAAAATTTATAGAGATATAAAGCTGATGGTTGGCCTCAGGCAACAAAGATTGAGTGCAAACAGGTACAAGAAACTCACTGGGTTGATGGAAATGTTCTATGACTGGATTGTTCTGATGGCTGCATCAGTCTATAAATTCACTAAAAATAATTTAATTAAACATTAAAATGGATAAATCTTTAAAGGTATATATATTATGCCTCACAAAAGTATTTGTAAAAAGTAACCAAGAAGATACCCAGTGGGGAGCTATAAATGAAACAAGTTTCGTAATGTATTAGTAACAACTGAAACTGGGTAATGGCTAACAAGAATTCATTGCTCTAATCCCTTCTACTTTCTTTTTTTGGGGGGTGGGGGTAGGGGTGGGAGGAAAGGATAAAGAGAAACACTGATGTGTTGTTCCACTTATTTATGCATTCCTTGGTTGCTTCTTGTATGTGCCCTGACCAGAAATCAAACCTGTAATCTTGGCATATGGGGATGATGCTCTAACCAACTGAGCTACCCAGCCAGAGCTAAATCCTTCTACTTTCACATAGGCTTGAAACTTTTTCACAATAAAAATTTTTTTAAACCACTCAACTTTTAAAAATCAGGAAATGATTTGAACAAACACTTCACCGAAGAATATGAACGGACAGTAAATAAGCACATGAAAATAATGCTTAATATCATCAGGTTTTTAGATAAACATATTAAAACTACTATGAATACCACTATGAATCTATTAAAATATCTAAAATTGAAAAGACTAACTATATCCAGTCTTAGGGAAGATATAGAGCAACTGGTACTCTCAGTTATATACTGTTGGTGGGAACGTAAAATGGTACAACCTCCTGGAAAACAGTTTGGAAATTACTTAAGAAGTTAAAAATGAACCAGACAGTTACCCAAGAGAAATTAAACCATCTGTCCACACACAGACAGCTGTTCATAGCAGCTTTATTTATAATAACCAAAAAATAGAAACAACTCAAATGTCCACCAAGCAGGTGAAAAGATAAATTGTGCTATATCTATACAATAGAATACTATTCAGCAATAAAAAGAAATGAACTACTGATATACACAACATAGATAAATTGCAAAATAATTATGCTGCATGAAAGAAGCCAGACAAGACAGGGTACATACAGTATGACTTCATTTATATAGAATTAAATTAAAATTCTAAATAATGCAAACTACTCTATAATGATGAAAGTAGATGAGTGGTTGTCTGAGGATGATGGGGAAAGGGAATGAAGGAGGGGTGAGTGGAAGGAAGGGATTATAAATGGGACATAAGGAAACTTTGGGAGGTTATACACATGTTCGTTACCTTGACTGCAATGACAGTTTCACAGGTATACACACGTCAAAACTTAACAAATTGTAAGTTGTTCAGTTTATTGTATATCAAATATATCTTAATAAGGCTGTTTGTAAAAGGTCAGTATAATGGATACCTTTCTGAGAGCGAGGGCACTAATGGCCAAGGAACAAAAGGAATTTGTGGGGCAGGGTTAATATTTTATTTCTTGACCTGGGTACTAGTTACATGGGTGTGTTCACTTTGAAAATTCATGAAGCTGTACACTTAGGATCTGCATACTTTTCTGTATGCATGCTATACGTTAATTTTTAAAAACTTATTTAAATAAGAAAATGAGATATGACTATACACTCATCAAAATGTCACTCTTTTTAATTTTAGAGAATATCAAGTGTTAACAAAGATATGCAGTAACTAGAACTTTCATACATTGCTGTTGAGAGTGTAAACTGGTACCAACCATTCTGAAAACCTGGCTGTATCAGCTAAAGTGGAACAAAGATATTTATATCCAATGGCCCAGCAGTTGTTCTAGGTGCATACCTATCAGAAATACATCCATATGTCCATCAAAAGAAATGTATGAAACCTTTGCTTAGAAGCATTAGTAAAAATCACCCACAACTGAAAACAACTCAAATTTTAATTATCAGTAAACTGGAAAAACAAACTGTGATATATTCATTCAGCGGATACGATAGAGTAATGAAAAGGGCGAACCATTCCTACATGTAACAACATGTATGAAGCTCAAAAACATAATACTGGATAAAAAAAACCAAATACAGAAGAATACATACTACACGATACCATTCCTTTTCAATTAAAAAACGGTAGCCAGAAATCCAAAGATAACTACTCTGATAAAAGTCAGCGCACTGGTTACACTGGACGGTATGAATAACGACTGCTTCTGAAGTCCAGGGTAATGTTCTATATCTGAATCTGGGTAGTAGTTACTTGACTCTGTTTGCTTCATAAAAGTTTTCTCAAACAGTATACTCAAGAATTCCCATCTTGCTGTATATATGTTATATTTCAATTTAAAAATTTTCAACTCTATACTGAGCCAGAGAAGAAAAAGAAATAATTTAAATAGTGCAGTTGTCCTCTGTGAGCACACACTGTCACCAACAAGGGTAGGTCCTCAGATAGGGATTGCAAATAATGAGCCTGACATATCAGTGCGTACTGGCAACATCCACAGAAAGAATGTGTCAATTTTAGGGTTTTTCTACTACTGACAAGAAGTGAAAACACTGTTTTGCCAACCAAAGAAGAGGGTAGAGGTAGCTTTGTCTATATCCTCAAGAAATAAACTGAAAAATAAATTGTGAAAATAATGAATAATAAGAACTAAGACAAATAATGTAAAGGCAACAATGACAAATAACAAGAAGAGTCAGCAAACTGGCTCTCTATAAATGTGTTCTACTGTCCCAAGCAGAGAGACACTGGAACACTTTAATTTCTTTTAACATTTTCTTTGAGCAAGGAGACTGGTAGTAGGGCAGAGGACTACTACTTTTCATACAATTTTATGTACTATTTTATAATTTTAATCACTAATCTGTCCTACTTATTTAAGTATTAAAACTTTAAATCATGTTACAGAAGAATAGATCATATAAATATTTTCCCTTTATATATTAAACTTTAAAAGCAGATCATATACTTTGATCCCTACGAAACATATTTGTAAAGGGCATAATAACTATCCTGATTTCACAGTTTTATTGAGATAAATATGCAAATAATCAGCAAAGCACCTGGTACAATGTAAGGATTCAATAAATGTTAGCTATCATTACTATTATTTATTATATATGCATAGAGTAAAGGTTCAGAATAATATTAGAACTGAGACTATTCATTATATAAAGCATCTGATATATAATAAGCGCTCAATAACTAATGACTATAATTAATTAGTCTAGCTAGCTTTCAAGGAATAGCTAATTGTCTCCCAAGACTATTAAATAAAATACAGACAGACAGCTACCTGGTTAACTACAATGAAATTAGAATAAAACTAAAGCCAAAACTTGACAAGGTACAAAAAAAATCATGTCCCAGTTTAATTTTTTTTTTTAATATATCTTTATTGATTTCAGGGAGAGGAAGGGGGAGGGAGAGAGAGAGATAGAAACATCAATGATGAGAGAGACATCGACTGGCTGCCTCCTGCATGCCCCCGACTGGGAATCGAGCCACAACCCAGGCATGTGCCCTGACCCGGAATCGAACCACGACCTCCTGGATCCTAGGCCAATGCTCAACCACTGAGCCACACCTGGCCAGGCCCAATTTTATTCTTTATAGTAAGAATATCAATAGCAGCAGTAGCAATAGTGGTTAGCATGTAGAGCATTTCCTGGGTGTTAACTTTTCCTTCTAACATTCTCCTGTATTTTTAACTTTTGCTATAAATACTACTTTTATAATTTTTTTGAAGGGGAGATCATATTTTTTTTGGAGGGGTGATCAATTTTAGAATTCTACTCCACATAGAAAATAATTGCTTACAAGGGCCAAAATTTCCAAATATGTTAAACTGTTTTTTGTACAAGGAAGTTATTAATTCTTACATATCCATTAAATGATATATCAACATAATATTTTGGGGCATATTTGGCTGTCCGGGAACAAATAAGATTCTAATTAAAATAAGAGTAAAAAAAATGCTTAAATTTTCTGTGCCATACCATCCACTGAAAGCATACCACTCTCTATCAACAGGGACCTAAAAAGAAATAGATGCCTGATGGAACAAAACAACAATTAACCTTTCATAAAGTTGCAGAGAACAGGATAATAAGGGAGAATAAATAAATGCATTCATTATTATTAATACGTGTAAATACTTTAAAAATATTATCTTCATCCAAAAGGTTCATGATCTACTTTGTAGTAAGAAACAACTTAGCTCCTCATCTGAAGATTCAAATGGAGGAAAAAAGGGAATCCAAGTGAGTTAGCCAGAAATAAGCAGAAAAGGGGAATGCAGGAATGAATACCAAGGCTTCTCTCCAACACACCTGCCCTTATACCTTATAAAGAACAGGGATACCTAGGATGGGGGCCTCCATTTCCAAGCTTACCTGTGCATACTCTCTTTCAATAGCAGCCTTCTTCTGACTGAATGTCCTAAAAACACAAACAAAAATTCATTACCAAAAGTATTATAATAATTTCATGTAAATTTATCAACACACTCTCAAATACTGCCTGGTAAGCTGTGTTAAGGGAAAGGACGATTTTCATTCATCTTACGTGCCTAGGAATACTGCTGACATAATAGACTCTGGAGTCAGACAATCCACATTCAAATCCTAGCTCCACCACTTACTAGCTGTATGACCTTGGTCAAGTCACTTGACTTCTCCGTGGCTCTGTTTCCTCTTTGGTAAAATAGGGATAGTAACTATACCCACCTTTCAGGAATAACGTAAAATTTAATTAAAATATATAAAGTGCTCAAAACAGTACCTAGCACATAATAAATGCTATATAAATGTTAGCCACTGTCGTTAAAATGACTAGTGCATAGTAGGCACTAAAAATATCTACTAACTTAACCAATGTAGAGGAAACTACAGTAAATAAGGTTAAAATCAAATTCTGATTAGCTTCTCATCACGAAAAAATAGTCAAATCATTTCCTTCTTTTCAGTGTTTTTTTTAAAAATCCTCATCCAGGGACATTTTTTCCATTGCTTTTTCAGAGAGAGTTGTGGGGGGAGGGCATCAAAGTGGGAGACTCTCACACATCGAATGGTTTTCTCCTCCAACCGGAGCTGGAGATCGAGCCTGCGACCGAGGTACGTGCCCTTGGCCGGAACCGAACCCAGGACCCTTCAGTCCACAGGCAGACGCTCTAACCGCTGAGCCAAACCGGCCAGGGCTCTTTCCAGTCTTTACAAGATTTACAAAACAAAGTACATGGCTACTACATGTTGTGGTAGGGTGGGAGCACACTTTCCATACAGGCATGTTTCATAGATTCTATAGTAAACACTTTTCACATTTTAATATTGATTCTATTACGATTCATATTTTAATAATGATTGGTAGTATTTTCTTCTATCTTAACAGTAATGAAATAACAGTGTACCTTACAAACCATAGGCAAAGTAGAGTCCATGAAATATAATAATATGGACAATTTACCTTGAATAGTCTGAGTTTAAAGACTTTTCTACAGATGCCAGATATGTGTGCTTTTTAAAAAAAATATTTTTTTTTATTGATTTCAGAGAGAGGAGGAGAGAGGGAGAGAGGGAGAAACATCAATGATGACAGCAAGTCATTGACTGGCTGCCTCCTGCATGCTCCCTGCTGGGGATTGAGCCCACAACGCAACCTGGGCATGTGCCCTGACCTGGGATCAAAGGGTGATCTCCTGGGTCACAGGTTGATGCTCAACCACTGAGCCATGCCAGCTGCACCAGACACGTGTGCTCTTAAAAGCACTTCATCAAGGCAGAGATATCAGAGTAAAAAGTGAAAAAAACATAAAGAAAAGAGCTGGAATAGAAAAAAAGGCAATAAGCCAAAATTCCCACTTTAACAATTATTTAAATTTACCAAAATGGCTATTCATTTCTTATGTAAGAAATACAACCATTTAAGATGTTACTAAATTTGTTTTGGGTGAATAATTACATATTTAGCTTTAAAAAGGCAAAAAGCGCTGGCCGGTGTGCTCAGTGGTTAAAAGCATCGTACCATGCACATACGAAAACAGTATTAAAAATTTTCTCTGGGCAGTGGGATTACAGGCTTTCACTTTCTTCTCTTGATCTTGCTTTCTATATTTTCTGATGTTTTAGTAAGAATTTGTATTGTGTTTAAAAAATATATAGTCCTTATTTTTAAATTAATGAACACTCAGAAGCATATGCTCACACCTTTTCATACCTATGTTGCTTTACTAAAATTGGATTTAGGTACTCTTTTAACAACATTAATTATTCCAATCTATGAACACAAAACATCTCTCCATTTCTGTGTGTCTTCTTCAATTTCTTTCAACAATGTCTTGTAGTTTTCAGTGTACAGATCCTTTACTTTCTTTGTTAAGTTTACTCCTATTTTATCCTTTTTGTTGAGATTATAAATGGGACTGATTACTTCCTTTTCTGATATTTTATTGTTAGTGTATAGGTACACAACACATTTTTGCATATTGATTTTGTATCCTGCAACTTTCTGTATTTTTATTGTTTCTTAGTCTTTTGGTGGAGTCTTAAAGGTTTTCCTTATATAGAATCATGTCATGTGCATATAGTCAGTTTTACTTCTTCATTTCCAATTTGGATGCCTTTTGTTTCATTCCCTAGCCTGGCTGCTCTGCCGAGGACTTGCAGTACTCTACTAACAGTGGGGGGAGTGGGCATCCTTGTCTTTTACTCTAAGATCCTTGTGATCTTAGAGTAAAAGCTTTCAGTTCTTCACCATTGGGTATGACGTTAGCTGAGGATTTGTCATATATGACCTTTACCATGTTGAGGTAATTTCCTTCTATACCCATTTTGTTGAGTGTTTTAATCATAAATGGATGTTGTATCTTGTCAAATGCTTTTTCTGTATCTATTTATATGATCATATGATTTTTATCTTTTATTTTGTTAGAGTGGTGCATAGACATTGGTTGGTGTATGCTGAACAATCCTTGCATCCCTGGAATGCACCCCACTTGATCATAGACATTGGTTGGTGTATGCTGAACAATCCTTGCATCCCTGGAATGCACCCCACTTGATCATAATGTATTATCTTTTTAATGTATTGTTATATTTGATTTGCTAATATTTTGCTTAGGATTTTTACATCTATGGTCATCAGAGATGAACCATATACAAAAGAATGAAACTAGACTGCTGACACCATACACAAAAATTAACTCAAAATAAATACTTGAATATAAAACTTAAAACAATAAAACAGAGAGAAGAAAGTATAGGTATTAAACTTATGGACCTTGGTTTCAGAGGAATTGGTTTTTGTGAACTTGACCCCAAAGGCAAGGGAAGTAAAAGCAAAAATAAGTAAATGAGCCTACTTCAAACTAAAAGATTCTACACAGCAAAAGAAACTACCAACAAAACAAAAAGCAACCAATTGAAGGGAAGAAGATATTTGCAAAGCACACCTCCAATAAGGGGCTAATACCCAAAATATATAAAGAACTCATACAACTCAACAACAAAAAATCTAATTAAACATGAGCAGAGGACCTGAAGAAATACTTTTCACAAGAAGAGATACAGATGGCCAACAGATACATGAAAAGATGCTCAACTTCACTAGCTGTAAGGGAAATGCAAATCAAAGCCACAATGAGATACCCGACACCCCTTAGAATGGCTGTTATCAATAAAACAGGAACTAACAAGTGTCTAAGAGGATGTGGATTAAAGGGAACCCTCCTACGCTTGGGGGGGGGGGGCTAACGTAAATTGGTGCAGCTTCTATGGAAAACAGCATGGAGGTTCCTCAAAAAATTAAGAATAGAGCTATTATATGACCCAGCAATGGCTCTTCTGGGTACCTACCTGAAAAATTTGAAAACATTTATAAAGCTATATGTACCCGCATGTTCACTGTTGCATTATTCACAAGAGCCAAGACATGAAAAAAACCTAAGTGTCCTTCGACCAATGCCTGGGTAAAGACGACGTGGTACACATATAAAAGGGACTGGAGCTTGAGGGCATCATGCTAAGTGAAATAAGTCAGATGGAAAAGGACAAGAACCATGTGATTTCACCCATATGCAGGACATAAAAAAGCAACAAACGAACAAATAAAGCAAAAAACTCACAGACACAGACAACTGTACGGTGGTCACCAGAGGGGAAGGGGAGGAGGATGAAGAAGGCAAAGGGGGCAGATATCTGGTGACGGAAGGAAACCAGAATTTGGGTGCTGAGAGCATAACGAAATATACAGATGATATATTATCAAGTTGTATACCTGAAACTTACATAATGTTATGAACCAATGTTACCCCCAATAAATTTAGTTTTTAAAAGTAAAAATTAAGCCCGGCCGGGAGTGGCTCAGCGGTTCAAAATCGACCTATGAACAGGAGATGGCGGTTCGACTGCAGGTCAGGGCACATGCCCAGGTTGCGGGCTCCATCCCCAGCCGGGGGCGTGCAGGAGGCAGACGATCAATGACTCTCTAATCACTGATGTTTCTATTTCTCTCTCCCCCTCTCCCTTCCTCTCTCTGAAATCAATAAAGATATATTTTTAAATAAAAATTTTTTTAAAAGTAAAAATTAAAATTGGACTTAGAAATTATTATGACTAGTGCTACCAAATATGTTATCTCCCCACCCAATGTAAATACTCAGGCAAAAGGAACTAAAATGAATTAGCTCACACTTTCACCATTAAAAAAAACAAACTGAAAATTTACCTATATTTTGAAGAAGATGGTATTTTTAATATTTTACAAAAAATAAAAGTATATATTTAAACTATTTATTTAGCACCCTTTTAATCTTAAGTAAGTCATCTTGAAATAAGAATGAAATAAGTGAAGTCTGCAAGAAAATGGGAACTAACTCTTACTCTGAGCACGCCTAGCAACTAATTTTAAAATTCTCAATGGAATTTTTATTTGTTATTAAACAATTACATGTCTACTAAGAATTTTCTGTTCTAAAGAAAAAACAAATCCAAGATGACAACTGCTCAAAATCAACATCATCAATATTAGTAAATAAATTATGATTCACCATATGAAGAGAGCAGAACAAAAAAATCTTCTGATAATGTTCATATAAGACGCAAAGAATTTGTTAAAATTCACCATCAGCTTCTCATAAAACCTCTTTTAAAATATTAATGGGTGCTATAATTAAACAGATGGACAAGAACAAGTGTTGGCAAGGATGTGGAGAAATTAGAACTCATATGGTGCTGAAGGGAATGCAAAATGGTGCAGTTGCTTTGGAAAACAGTCTGGGAATTCCTCAAAAGGTTAAACATAGGAGTTACCTATGACCCAGCAATTCTATTCCTAGGTATACAGTAGTCTACAGATAACACATTTCAAGACCCCAGTGGAAGTCTAAAACTGTCCATAGTACCAAATCCCATATACACTATGTTTTTTCCTATAAATACATACCT